GCCCCTTTTTGTGTTTCTGGAGGGGCAGGTCGCCCAGCACGTAGTCTGTGACTGCAGGGCACACGTGGGATCCCCGCCCCCCCTTCTGAAGCAGAGTTCCGGGGAGAGCACGTGGGAAGAAGAGGCTGGAGTGGCGGCTCTATAGACACTTAGGGGCTGCCTGGGGCCTCCGGCACTTAGTTGGAAACCTGCAGTTCCCCTGGGTGTTCTTCCGCCCTGCCGTGGAGGGATTGGGGAGACGCTGGCCTGGGAGCAGTGGAGAAAGGGGAGAGGCGCTCCGGGCCCCCTCCCCTGCCCTGGAATTGAGGGCCTGCTGTGGGTATCCACCTCTACCCGCACCCTCCTAATCTGCTTGGGGATCGCTCCGCCTCCCCTGCCTCTCCGGTACCCGCCTCCAAGTGGGCATGGTCTTTAGATGTGGGTTTCTAGTTCGCTCCTAAAAGTTACTTGGAGACGACCACACTCACTTTCTCGAATTCCTTGAGTTTTGATTTCCTAAAGCAAGCTTCTTCCTGCTCCAAGGCCGGACCTATGCGTCCGTTTTCCTCTTAGGGGTACCACTAGCCCAACCTTGCGTCTCAACCTCGTCATTTACATAAGAAAGAGCCCTTGGGCCCTGCCCTAGGCTTCCCCAGAGCCGCCTGTACGGTGGTGGGGGTGGAGCCTGCCCGGCGGCCCTGGCCGGTCTCTGGGACTGAGATTCCGAAATGTGGGCGGAATGGGTGCAAGAGAGGGGCTCTCCTGTGTGGCAATGACCGAACGTTGCTCAATTACATACTTGAAGTTTCAGCATCTGGTGAGAGAACGCATTTTGGGGAAAATGTCTAAACATCATTCAGCGAAGTAAATTCCTCGTACATTCTCTCTGGAAGTCCTGAGAGCCAGAGAGGCTGGTGGGTTAACTTTTTGATGTTTCTAACTGCAGGGCAGAGAACTCCACAATACAGCTCAATTGACTCAGCCTTGGAGGAGGGAACAGAGGAAGGCTGGTTTAGTTGGAGGTTTGCTTTGTTTGTACAAGGGTTTTACTCTAACTCATTCCTGAGCCACGACACTGCTCTGGATTTTATTTCGGTGTATTTAAAAGTCTGTCTTCGAGCCAGCAGGATCTCTGGGCTTCTCTGAGTTATGAGTTAACTCTTGGGGAAGACTGTTATCTCTTGGCAATTCCGAAAATAAACGTGGGGACACATTTCATTAATCCATGGGAAGATTTATCAGATCGATATCGTTCCCGAACATCGTAATGCAGTGAAAAGCTTACTACCTCTGAATCCAGTGCAAAGGAACTTAGGACAGGCACAGTGGAGTAGTAGGACCCACGTGGCGTCGTATAAAGGGAATCTCTTTAGTCCTACAGTGGAAAGAGAATTAGCCAGGGTATCTGAAAACGTGTTACAATTTCTGCATTATAGCTTATTAACCACTGGCCCTGAGCACGTGATTTTGTCCCTTTGGACGTCTAATTTATCTTGGTCAGTTGATGACAGCAGCCTTGTCCACTTTTTAGAGCAGTGACGGTCAAGCACACTGACTGAAAACACCTTTCATGGGAGTACTCAAGGCGCCTGGTGGGTGGTGGCTGATGTGTGGGCCGGCTAACCATAGCCAGCAGCTCTGCAGGGGAAAGAGGCTTTCCACTCCTGTAAAGTTGAGCTTTGGAAACCCACAGGGGCAGGTCTACTCTGCCCTATAGTGGACGTGTGAGTGCACATGGACTTGATGGCAATGAATATCCCCCCCCCCCCCCCCCCCCCATAGGTGTCTTCTCAATTCACTGCTGCCCGTGTCCCGGGGAGGGTTGGCTGTCTTTCCTCTATTTTCCTGATGGGGGCAGAATTGAGTCAGAACTTTTGCTCACCTGGCATCAGAAGCTGGGGCATCAATTTTTCAAGTTGTTCGCTGGAAGGGACAATTGAAGGAAGGGTGAAACACTTGGCATTTAATTTTAGTCTCTTCTGAAAGCCCCTTGTGCTGACAGTATCTTCCATGCTCTGGGCTGTAGTCCGAGGGGATGGGAGGCTTAACCTCATTAGGCTCGCTTGTCTACCGTGCTTTGTGGCATTAGGACGAGAGTAAGGCCTTCTCCCTTACTTTTGCCTATTGACACTTTGGAATGCAAGCAGCACCTCCTAGGTCCCAGACTTCTCTGACTGGTTCAGGCGGTTAACCTGCACATTCATCAGTGCCTTGTGAGACAGGCTGGAGGGTCTGCTGCCACAAGGTCATATTCGCGACCTAGTGTGCCAACTCAGAGCGACACTGCAGGAGACGATAGAACTGCCCCTGTGAGTTTCTGAGACCATAACTCTTTACAGGAATAGCCAGCCCCACCTTTCTCCTGAGGAGAGACTCGTGGTTTTGAACTGATGATTTTGTATTTAGCAGCCTAACATGTAACCACTTTCTCCCCACCTTCTCCCTATCCTGCTATCACTACTCCCGTTTCTGTTCCTGAGGGGGTTTATCTGACCTGTATTCCCTGTGCTGTGAGCTCTTATCTGTACTTGTGTACATGCTCTGGTCTAGCCCGAGGTGAAAGGCAGAATTGGGGAGGATGGGGGGTGAGGAAGCCTCAAGAAACCAGAGGAATATTGTGTTATACTGTCCCGGTTGACTCATCCCTTCCTTGTGGCCCTTCTGTGAGAGGATGTCCCTTTGTCTACAGATGGGTTTTGGGTCTCTGCTCCGACCCCTCTCATTCTCAACGATATTTTGTGTGCGTGAGCAAACAATGCCATAGAAAGGGAAAACTAGGGAATTAAAACCAACAGTGAGAAGGATGCAGAGATCCTGGGTGTTGGAGCAACAGCAATCTAGCTGACAGGAATGACTGAGAGGCTGAAGAAGGACAAATGTGATAGTGGGACAGGAGGAAGGTGAAAGGACACAGAGGAAAGCAAAGCTATGGATCGAGGTACAAAGATTACATTAATATATGTAAATATATTAATTCGTAATATCATTTATTAATTCATAAAAGTAGAGGTATTGGCCTGTGTACTTATATTTCTATGTTAATTGAGGTAGTGGCAATGTATATGGTAATTGTAGTGGATGGACTGCGGGCCTCTGCTCAAGCCCTCCCTCACTGCAAGAACACTTTGTTCTAATAATTTGGCATTCTGTAATGCTCACCCTCCCAGCACGATCGCTGAAGACAAAATGGGTGCACAAGCACATGTGCTGAAGAAAGCTGATGGTGCCCAGCCATCAAAAGATATAGCGTCTGGCGTTTTGAAACAACAAGGCCACCTGGAAGCAGCACACGTCCTGTGTGGTGATGAGGTGTCAACGGAATCAGGTAACAGGGATCAAAAGACTAACTTTCCTTTCTGATGACCACACTTTTATCAACTGGTCCCCAGCTTATTCAAGAGAACTCCAGTTGGCTTTTCTTGTTTCTAGTTCAATCCCCCCTCCCCTATTACCTCAGCCTCAAAGACTTCAATCACCATTCTTCTAAGGGTGATGTCCTTTCATATGATAATCTTCTGCCCTGGCTTTTGTGACCCTGTACTCTCTTCCTGACTTTTCTTCACTCCTTCCAGCTCAGATGCCACTTGCTCCTCCCTGCTCCTGTGTGCCCACATTATTGAGCTCGGACCTCTCACAGTGTGTTTCTTTCTGCCATACATGTGCTGCTACTAACCCTAAAGTTGGCAGCCCAGATCCGCACCCACTGGTGCTATGGAAGAGAAGCCAGGCCATCTGCTGCAGGAAAGATTACAGCCAAGTAAACTCTATGGAGCAGTTGAACGCTTTCATACAGGTTGGTGCCAGGAGTCAGGTGGACTCAACAGCAATAGGTGTTTGTTTTGTCTTTCCATTCGTTAAGGTTGGTAGTGGTCAGTTCGGGTTCTTTTCTCAGGGCAGGGAGCATCCTACCTATTTGCCTTTGTAGTCAGTTTCTAGCCATTCAATGGGTGCAAGGATGCAAGAGAGACCTCCTAGGAGGAAAAAGCAGTGAGGGCTGCTGGGAGTAGAGGAAGATGGGAGGAGGCTAGTCGTGGGCTTGGAGGAAGGGTTAGCTAGACCTCAGAGCTATTCCTTCATCCAGTGTTGCCTGAGGTTGATACTGATCCTGCCAGAGAACCTGCTAGCTTCCAGCAAGCTCACTGTTTTATGTTTTATCTCTGGAAACGCAGCGGCCAAGGGACTTTTGCCTCTTTGGAATGAGAACCAGGACCACCCATTGAGGAATTACCCATTTTAGCCATTAACCACGCTGCTTTCACATACATACCGAAAAAACAAAGCAGCCTCAGGACACATCGGGTCTTGGTGGCCTTTGCCGCTTCAGACAGAGCGATCTTGAATGTGCTCCTCCAAGGTCCCAGGAGTCCTGCCCACTCACTCTTTTGTCACTTTTGCTCACCACCCCCTGCTTTGCATGGCCAGCCTTCTATTTCAGGGAGTGCTAAGAGACACTTTTCCTTTAGCTGTGGAGGGATCAAAATTCCCACTGAGCTTACTCAGCCAAAGCTAACATTTTATTTTGTACATCGCTTTTCAAGGTTGAACTTTTCCAGCACCCTGAGGGGCTTGGGGGTCAACTAGGGGTCCTTTTCCCAGCGGGTAATAAGAGCAACACAAGCCACGCAGTTTTCTTGAGGAA